TTAATTTTTAAATTAAATTTTTTACAAATTTTATCATTTAATACCGGGTTTGACAAGAATGATTAGAAATTGAGTTTTATGATTTATTTTGATTTACTTTCTATAAAATTATCTTGATGATATAATCAAAGTTACGGATTTAATAGATTAACCCTTGTTGAATCAATTCATTTTTTTAAAAGGTTATCTCAGTCCGATGATTCTAGACATGGATTTGACTAATTGATTTGGGTTATTTTTTACGACATGACTAAGATTGTATGAATTATTTTTGAACTTTTATATTCAATTGGGCTATATTAAATCAACTCCCATGTCATTTATTTTTTATTTTTATCTGAAAGAATAATAATAAGATCTAACATCTATCTTGTAATAAAAAAAATTAACCCAATTCACAATATAACATATATGAATTATCTAATAATTCCATGATTAGGTTAGTGGTTACATGATTATAGAAAAAAAGTTAATTACAATGCATTGATATATAAATAAATAGAACTATGCAGTAAGTCGTAAAATGGTTAGAGTTTGTGATCAATAAATTTGTTTTCTTTGTAGTTTTAAGTTCAAGTCCTATGTTTAGTAATATAGTGGCCATGAGAGTCTTACATGGTTATTAACTTTATAAGTCGTGAAATTAATTGAGATATTTGTAAATTGATCTGGATATTCATGTTAATAAAAAAATCACTAATTAGCTATTTTGATTGCGATGGAATAAATCTTCACAAAGATTCAATAAGGTATTTTTTAATTTACACTTCAAGATACATTAAAAAACACGGGTGGAGTTACATTTGATGATGATGTAAACAAATAATTATTGTGATAATAATATACAACACTGTAAAATATAAAAAAGATTATTACATCTTTGTATTGTATTATTTTTATATTAAATTTGAAAAAAAAATTATTTCATTTCATTTTCATGCTATACATGTTCAGTGATTCCTAAATACTACTTTTTTTTTATTTCACATCGTGTCAAGGATAATTATTAACCTAGCATGTATTTTAATTTTAAAATATTATTAATTTCATCCATAAAATATTAACTCATTAATATAATTATTCTAATGTAACCTTTGAAAAAATATTATATATCTAAGCAAAAATACAATAACCTGTAATTTATTTTGGTCAATTCATTTTTCTACAGATACAAATCAGGAGAAATTTATAATATGGTTTAGTCGGTTAGTTTTCTTAGATTTTACAAAGAAATACAAATATACAAGCAAAGAAGATGATAATAATAATAATAATAAAACTATATGTTAAATTTGGAATGGGTGGGAAAAGTAAAGGAAAAATGATCAAACCTAGTACCTAGAACCAGGTCTAGGCTCATCTAGGCTGAGACACAACTAGAGCACTCTACATGGAAGACAACAAGCTGTCTATTATTATCCCATGCGGTGAGTCTTGTTTATTTTTTGACGAAACCCACTAGAATCTACTGTGAGCACCGACCAGCATAAAAAATTCTTCGTTTTATTTCAAATATTTATCTCTCTCAGATCTAGTGATAAAATTGTATAATTTTTATGCAAGTGAATTTTTTAATTGATGACTTTAGAGGTACATAAATAGCTAAATTTCTTAATATTTATAATATTTTTTATTTTTTAATAATAATATTCTTTTTGCGCCTTTAGAGGTACATAAATAGCTAAATTTCTGTTACACCACTTAATAATTATAATGTTCATGAGCAGAATTAGAGGGTAAGCCTGGATAACAGCCCCGAGCCCTGAAGTTAAAATAATAGTTAATTCGTACAGGTTTTATATCTTATAATACAACTAACTCTTCTAAATAAGAAATTGTCTTTTAACCCCCAATCTATCTATAATTTGTATATTTTTGTCATTGTATATTATCTCTGCACCCCATCACGGTCCTCGGTTTTTCTAATTTAATATTCACAATTTTGTCCTCGTGGCCGTGGCCCCTGGCCGCATCACACGCCACGCATGGATTGCGACCTCCACAAAACTTAAATATACGTAACTTCATAACTTTGGTTTCAAATTATTCATGAACTGAAAGATAGTCGATAGTGTAGTAATTGTTTTTTAAAGTATTTTTTATTTTTAAAAAAATTATTTTAAATATTAATACGTTAAAATAATTTAAAAATATTAATTTAAAATAAAAATAAAAAAAATATTTTTTTTTAAATATTTTCAAAATACAATATCAAATATACTTTTAAGATTACAGTAGGACTTCTCATGATCCAGGTAGCCCAAACAATCCGTGTTGTCCAGTGATTCATAGCTAGTTCTCACATTTTACGAGCCTTCTTTCAGTAAGTAGATTGAAAAGGTTGTAATAATGTGTAAAAGATGCTCGACCACTCGGTATTATTACCATCTTGTATCTTAATCATGAGAGCGGCTATGCCTCTCCTTTTGAAGGCTGACCTCGACTTTCAACAGAAGATTTCCTCTCGCTCCTTCACCATGACGAATAAATTCTTAATTATCATCCAAAATGTAATTAAATATTGAAATTATTTTTTTAATGGAATAACATAATTTAAAGATGTTTCAATTAAAAAAATGCAGCATGTAATTGTCATGTTTAAAAAATAAAAGTTGTATTTTAGCCAACACAGCTATTAAAATATAAACAAATCAAATAATATGTTATTTAATATTTTTTCAAAAAAAATTGAGGTGAGATACATCACATCACTTAGAAGGGTATGCTAAATTTATATTTATTTTTTTAAATTGTTATTAATAATTTTTTAATTTTTTAAATTTATGTTTAAAATAATACCTATTTTTTCTTTTATTTTATTCAGAGAGTCTCTTTTAAATAATAATTATTCTTCAAATTATATATTTAAATTTAAATAGTTTTTATTTTTTTTAACTTTTATATGGATAAATTTTATTTTTTAAAATAATTTTTTTTATATATGTGTAGCCTTGTATGATTTATTTTTTTCTTGTATTTTACTTGATTAATTTATTTTAATTTGTGTTTTTATTTTTATTATTGTTTTTTAAATATCTTATCTTTTAAGATTAAATATCTTTATCTATATTTATTTTTTAATTTTTCAAATTTTATTTTTAGATATTATTAATAATTATTTATTTATTTGCATATATAATTTTTGTTTTATACATAATTTATTTTTTCAACTTAAATTTATCATTGAAAGTTTTTTTTTTAAAAAAGAAGATAAAAATATCTAACCTAAAGACAACACCGATCACATATCTAATGATAGATCATAAATATCGCGAATAAATGTAGACGTAGATGCTGTTAGATGACCAGATGTCTGGAGAGCAAGGGGGAATAAAAAGGGTCACAAGAGCCCAGAACCACTCACCTGCATTGACAATACTGATATATTTGGTGGTCACAATTTTTTCCCTCGTCTTCCAAGGCATTGTATACCACCCTCCATGTTGCCCTATCAAATCAAAAGGCTTCTGTCATTTTCAGACATTGCCCCGCCTCTCCCGATTTTATTGACTGATTGAGACGGAGTTTGAGCCGTGCAACTCGTGTCATCCTCTACACCTATCTTCCCATAGCTTACTTTTTCCTTTTTATCTTTTCAAGGTGCCATGCACCCAGGTCAAGAATTTTCTTTTTATTAACCTTCTTGTATATTTTAACTAATTTTATAGATTTTAAAATTAATAATTATATAAATTATTATTTTTAGTAATTTTTTATAAAAAATTTATAATAGTTAAAAAGTAAAGTTAAAATTTAATTAATTAAATTACCCTTGAGTCCTCATTCAGCTTGGTGGTGATTTAATTTGAAGCATCTGTCATGGCGAAATTACCTTGCAGGCGACCAGCTCCGTAATGGACTGTTTTACGCAGTTATCATCAGTCTCGCGCTATTCAAATCTCAATGGATTTCACGTTGTGAAATGTAATGAGTGCATGAACGCAAAGTAGGATTAAGCCACAGCATATAACCTTATATATTTACGGGGAGGTGAACCTATTTTCTTGTCAATAATATTTTCCTGATTTCTTCCTTCTATGTTCAAGTCTACAAATCTGGTTGTATGAGATGCGGGATCATGTTTCCCCCCCAGAAACAATCAATACAACAGCCCACAGAGGTTTATGGGCTAGTTTGAGCCCATTAAACGTGTTGTCTTTCGAAACCGATAGAATTCCCGTTTGTTTTTACCGCATAAATGATGTTTTTAATTTTGCTTGAAATTAATATTTTTTTTGGGTATTTTAGTATTTTTTTGATATATTAATTTAAAAAAATAAAAAATATTTTTTAAAAATAATTATTAACACTGGAAAATCTTAAAAGAAATCCAACTATTTCAACTAAAGGTGGCGCAAGGCTTTAGGTCCAGGGAATGTTTTAAAAACTACAGCATTTTAAAATAAGTTGGAGTATATTTTGCTAAAGGAAAAACATTTATCCCTTAACTATTACCCAATTCTCAACAGGGTCTTAAACAAAACCAAAATTATCATTTGGATACCCATCAATCAAGCATTATCCAATTAAACCCATCATTAAAATTTCATTAAAATTTATGACAAGAAAAGGGTGATTTAGACAACTAGATTCTCCCCTTGTTTTTTTTATATAATATTAAAGAGATCCTTTTTCCACTAATTCTAGCTTGCCAACTTAGCATTTATGAGTTTGGAAACTCACACATCATGCAATAAATAAATAAATTTTTGTTTACTGGCTCTTCTTCATTTGGTTGGATTTTAAAACTGAAGATTGTTGAGTTGTAAATCCATGAATAAATAGTACAGGATTTTTCAGTTAAAAAAAGGAAAAAATTTAGGTAGAGAGTTGATTGGGTGTTTTGCAGTAGATGGGATCCATTTGAGATTTGCTTGTTTGGTGATCCAATTGAGAATTGGTTTATAATGGGGATGAACATGTCATTTACAAGAAAAAGCCCTTCGTGGTAATGGTAGTTCCTGTTCTAGGGCATCTAGCAAAGAGCTCAAACAACGAAGTACCAGTCAAAACGCTCTCTTTCTCCGTCAAGCTAGTAGAAATTTAACGGTATTTTTTCTCACTTGCGATTTACGCAATTCCGTGTTGTCTGCTCAGGTAACTCTTCTCCATTGATGTTTTTCATCTCTTTAGAAACTTGATTTACAGATTGCATTTTGCTTATTTCATATTCTTTTATCGGGTAAAAGAAAATCCTAAGGCTCAAAAGACAGTTTTTGCAGCGACCTAAGATTTTGGTGTTTTCTGCTCGATTAAATGCAAAAGGCAGCAACAGCATGCAAATCTAGGGTAGGAAATTGGATGAGAAGTACAAAATAAAATATTGTCTGCTTTCTTGAGGAAATGAAGCAAGAATGGTTTTAGAGTGTCCCAGTTTGGTCTTTTGCTAAATAATTGCAATTTTCGAATACTAGCTTGGATTAGCGTACCTTTTATGAGGGTTTGTTGAACACGAGGGTTTACTTTCTGCCTTATTGATTGATGAATTTTGTGGTGATTTTTCTTGGGAGTAATCTTTAGTGTCTTTTGTTTCCCTGTTATATTTCTCCTCTTCTATTCTTCATTTATTATCAATTGCATGTCAATGTAGACGTTACCCAATTTGTTTACTTGTTTTCTGTAGTCTATAGGCAGAGCCTTGGATGGTTATTTTGCTTATTAACTGTTCTGGGGATCTCTGGGCGATTAACTGTGAATAGAAATTTGATTTAGTTTGGATTTGTATGCTGGTGATCGATATAGCAGAGGGACATTTTCAAGCTTTTAACTCTTTTATCTTTGCTTGACATTCTTCTGAACTGGAGTCTGGTGATCTCTGTCCAGGGTTACATTGTAGGTGACATGAAGAGGACAATACCATGGACCGACCCGGTTGATGTTATATCATCGGATGAATCTTCTTCCTCAGATTCAGATATAGAGCTTAATGATGGACTTGATGGCCAGCGGTTCTCCAATTATGTTACAATCGATCAACCCATCAAAGAAATGACATCTGAGGGTACTAAAACCTATTTGGATTTGGATCCTGGTTATATATTGTTTTGATAAAATTCTTTTGTCATACCGGCTGTATCTCTGTGAATGAACTGTTAAAATATTCCTTGTCTGGTTGAAATATTATCCCGCTGCTAGTCCATTTTTTATTCTGTCTTGAGTTGAAAGTTACTCTGGGCAGTCATGCACTTGGGTTTTGTACCTGTTTAACAGATATGCTTAACCATTCATCTAAATTTCAGCCTTACTAAATGTGTCATTGTTCAGGCGTGTTGATTAGAAGGGCAGAAATGTATCAAGATTACATGACGCACATCCCTATCCCAGTACAACGTGGCTCTGCCATCCCATTTTCCTCATGGGTGGGGCTAGGCAAATCCATCAAGCAACTATATCAGCAGCCCTTGCATTACCTCACCAACATTCTTCTAAATAAGTGGGATCAACAACGAATTGGCAGTGAGGACGAGCATATGCCCTTGGATATCATGATTCATCCTTGTAAAGCTGAAGCCACCATCTGGCTTGTTGAAGAAGTTCACAGGCGCACATCATCACATCATCACGTGGCTAAAATCTGGCAATCTGACCCAATGCACCATGCTTTTGTAGACTCCATTTTCCCAAAGTTATGAAGCACATCTCGACTTTAAGCTTGATTTTGCTGGATGTTCCTTGATTGCATGGGCAAGAGCTTTGAACTGTATAACCTGCATCTGAAATGGAACACTTCTCTTATGGTTGTTCCTTAATGGTTATTTTTTCTTTTGTATAATTGTCACTTGCATAAATAGCCATATTTAGCTTTCTTTTTTTCACCCTTGTTCTTGATTCCAAATAATGTTCTTGCGGTTGGAAGGTCGGAAATTGCTAGGACAATGCCTTTTCCAAATTGAGGATTCCAATTTAATCCGTGATAAACGAAGAACTTGGGTTTGTGTAGCTCACCGGCATCTCTAAGATGTGGCCATTGGGAAAAGCTACTCTTTTCTCCTTCACATTAACATCAAGCAGAAGAACACTCGCAAGGCCAGGAACGTAGCCATTCTACAGCAAATCTCTTTCAACATGATCTAGGCTTTTTGGGTGTGATTCACCACGTGGGTCATTTCTGGGTGTGATTCACCACCTGACGTTAACTCGTAAATTTCTCCACTGATCTCTACTAAACTTGATCTAGGCTTTTTGGGTGTGATTCACCACCTGACGTTAACTCGTAAATTTCTCCACTGATCTCTACTAAACTTGATCTAGGCTTTTTGTGGACTCCTTTCTTCTTTAGGTGTAGCCTGCCCTTTGCAATATCCATGTATGTTCGACAGAAAAACATGAATCCCAGTCCTCTCAGGATCCAATTCAGTTAGCCTTTCAGCTGTATAAGCTGCAACACTACATTTTTGTGTATCCGGCAAGCAGCTAAAAGAGATCCCCAGATCACGTCATGAGGCTCCATTGGCATGCTATTTATAAGACATAAGAGCTTCGCTCAACAACGCAGCTCGGCCAAGCAAATCAACCATGCACCCATAATGGACAGCTTGAGGAGCTATACAATAGATATCATTCATGGACCTAAAAATAACCACCCTGTTCTACTAACCCTCTGTGGCTCAATGCAGTCAGCAGTCCCACAAATACCACTCCACGTGGTTGAATCCCTTGCTGCAGCATTTAATTGAAAAGCTCAATAGCCTCGTAACCATTTCACTACATCGCCATTGCACCAAAGGCTACAGTCCAGGCTAAAACATCTCTTTTCATCACCTTGTTGAAAACTTGCATTGCACTCTTTGGGTCACCACATCTAGCAAACATATCAATCAAGGCTTTGCCTGGTTGCAGATCACTAACTATGGATTCACTTTGAAAGGTCCAGACCTCCTAGATACCCGCAGGCAATAAACTTCCGGATCTACTCAAATAATGATCTTTATTAGTCAATGCAAATATTTTTTACACGTGTCATATAATTTAACAAAATTAAAACTGGAGGAAAGTTAATGAAACACACAGTAAAAGGATAGAATCTATTAAAAAACATTTGTATAAGGGAAAAATTCATAAAAAAAATAAAAAAAGAGGAAACTTTATTTATTTAATTGAGATACACAGAGAAGACAACGTTACATGCACCCATCGGGCTTAGCATTGGGTTACAAGGCTCTTGGTGGAACAAAGATAGATTATCAGATTCTTATTCCCGGTTTCTTCATCTTTACATGATCGCTTCTCGGTTTTTAAGGCACTTGAAGAAAATTGAAGGATATTTGGAGAGAACCCTGCTTATAGCTCTGATGGTATTTGGGGTAGTCCTGCAGCAGCCTCCAAATAGAGAAGCCCCGGCTTCACGCCACTTACCTATGTATGAGACAAAGTCTTCATCTACTACCACTCCACTTGATTTCTGCAACAGTACACATTGAATTAAACTTCTGAATCACTAAAGTTAAGGAGATGGTGCAAGTGATTGATCAAAACAGGAAAAATTTTTGCTCTTAACGACATCTGGATGTTAAAGAGCTTCAGTTGTCCTAAAAGGACTGTTGTATGCAAAAATATTCAGTAATTCTGAATGACGATTTAGCAACTGTGCAGTTCTTCAGCCACTCCTCCTTATGGGGACATAGTACTTGGTGGAGAAGCCCACAAAGAACAGCCTGTTATTTGAAGCAAAAAGAACATCAGAATGCTCACCACCCACTGCTTAAGCTCAGCATTGTACGTCTCGCCGCTGTTGGGATATATGACTATTGGCTTACTTGTTGCCTGCCAGATCAACCAGCCAAAAAGCGTTAGTCCCAGAAGTTGATTAAGTAGAAGCAGAGGTTCCTCTGGAAATTTGGTTTTAACTAACAAAAATATTATTAACTTCAGAAAACAGACCTTTTGGATGGAGAGAACGAGTCCATGGATAAATCTTGGTGGGGTACAATTGATTCCAACAGCAACAACTCGTTTGCAGGAATCTGCAATGGAGGCACATTCAAGGATGGAATCACCACTGACCACATTAATTCCATCCTTGGAATTAAAAGAGAACCATGCTGGAATATTTATCTCTTCCTCCTCAAGAAGCTCAGCATAAGCCTGATCAACAAAACCGAGCAAAATTACGAGAATTAATTGCCAGAAAAGGTACATGCTATGACATTCTTAATAAAAGCAACAGAATCATTAATTGATCTACTCAGAAATCAACCACTTCGTTTGTGTAATTAAGAAATACATTAACTACCTTTGCCTCGAGCTTATTCGGAATTGTCTCAAACGCAATCAGGTCAGCACCTGATTTCGCTAGAATCTGTAACCTTCTCCTATGAAAATCCTTCAATGTTCTCAGAGAAACTGCATCACCATATTTCCCACTGTAAAGAGAGAAAGCGGCAGTTTGTTGACAGGTTCAAGAAAAGGGAATTGCAATAAGGCATGATAAACTTGATGTAATATTTGCTGATTGCTTGTGCTAGAAATATTGTCTCATAATCTGATAGCACAAGCAAAAACTATGATGTTAATCATTTATTTACTTACCTATACTCGGAGCCATCGGCCAAATAAGCACCATAGCTGCCAATGGAGGCAGCAACTAAAACAGGACGTCTCGAGATGTTTCCACTTTCAATGTAATCCAAAGAACCTTTGGTAGTACATTTGTCATAGTAAATTTCCCTTGCCTCGCATGCAATTTCAACACTTCTCCTAAGCAATAACTCAGCTTCTTCTTCAGACAAACCTTTAGCCACAAAACCCTGAATAGTAGCCTGTCACATGTTTTATTTTTTATTTTTTTTTAAAAAAACATCAGCTTAAAATTTATCTCCTCAAAAACTAGTATAATATAATTGGATTATGAATATTAAAAATACCTGATAAGATGCTGTTATTATGATGTTTGCACCAGCATGAAGATAATCTAGGTGAACCTGTCATGTTAAACACGATCAACAATAATATTCACGATCAAGAACGGAATGCCGTCGAGAACAGCAACTAATGTAATTACCCAATTTTAGCTGTCCATGAACTCTTTAAGCTTGGGGACTCAAGAACATGTACACGAGATCCATTGTGTCTAACTGGTACAATTGCACGAAAAATTGGCACAGTTCATGTTTCTTCAAAGTTCAAAATAACTGGTTTTCCAACTTCGTACAATACATTGGCCATGTAGTCAAAATTAGCCAACTTCGTGCCGACTAGGGATCATTATTATCTTTCTATATAGTTGTTAATTTTGATTTAATTACTTTTCATTTTTTCAAAATTCTAACCCTAAAAGAGAACATGCCCAATGAAACGAGAATATTCTAACTAAAATTTAACTAAAAAATTTAGAACAAAGATTTTAAATAAAATAAAAATTATTTTGTTTTGTTTTATTTTTTAAACTAATACAAAATATTCTAGTAATGAAGCAGAATGAAATGAAACTGTCAACTTTATTGTAAATTTATAAACAAACATAACTCATGTGCACCACTTTTTTCAATTATCTATTTCATTTCTTCGATTTTTCCCAAATATTTTCGTTTTATTTTTCTACTCTCAATACTCTTTCATTACATAATAACATGTTAATTTTTTTTCTTGTTATATATTAAAGAATCATTTTAAATTTAATAGTTAAAATTTTAAAAATAATTTTATATTACTCTTTAATCTACATTCTTAGATAAAAATTATTTAAACTTGAAATTTATATTAGTTTTATGTTTAATTTTATTAATTAAAATAAAATATAAAATTTAATACTACAACCATTTAATTATTAAAACTTCAATATTATTTAAAAAAAATATCGTAATCTAAAAATTTAAAATATGTACTTATACCTTTTAACTTGCATGAAATTGACACGTTTCATTTGTACCGCATGACAATTGACACGTCAATAAAAACACAATTGGTGTGGGCAAGAAAGGGCCTTTGCCACGTAATTTGTTAGAAGATGATAACAAGCTCCCTTTGTATCATACATGTAAGAGCCACGACATCGATGTCCTAACTTTTGGTTACCTTCATTATCTCTAAGAAGCAAGGTAGGATCATAACAAATTCACAATTACCAGCAACCTAAAATGGCTTAGCAGCCGAAAAGAGGGGAAAAAGATTCTTCTAAAAATAGAAAAAAATTATTTTAATTTTTTGAAGCACATTTTACATGCTCGAAGACAGTGTTAAATAAAATACTATTTTACCATCTCTTTATAAAAATGCTATTTCTATATATTTTACAAAAATACTAAAATACTATTCATTACAATAATATTTTTTTTTCACAATTTTTTTCACAATTTTTTTAAATTTATTTTTTTATATAATTATCTTGATCCCATATTTTTTTATAAGATTATATATACATTGGGTTAATGAATCATTTAAATTTATTAAATCAATGGAGTCTTAAGGAATTATTAAAATAGTTATATATTAAATATATTAAAATATAATTAAATCTTTTAAATAAAGTATAAGATAAAAAACATTTACACTTAAAAAAAACTATATTTCCAATAGCATCTTTTATATAGAAGATGCTATAAAAATAAAATTTTTATAATTTTAAGAATATATTATTAAAAAATAATATAAATCATATTTTAATTTAAATTATTAAATTAAGATAGTTATTTAACGTGATATCAGAATTTTAATGATCAATCGATTATAAATTTAAATTTCATCATTTTTATTTATTTGATAAAAAAATTAAATATAAAATAATACTAATATATGCAAGTTTCAAATTTAAATTTTTTTTATTTAATAAATTATATTAAAAAATAATAAAAATTATATTTTAAAATTTTACCTTAGTTTAAACAATTTAGTTAAAATATTTTTTTAATACTTGTATCTCCTTTTTTTTTTTACAAATAATTAATTTAAGGCGCCCACAAGCTATGTTAGAGCTCTTTATATACTCGTTATGACAATGCATAATTAACAATCAAACTAAAAATAAGAGCTCTTTATATACTCGTTATGACAATGCATAATTAACAATCAAACTAAAAATAAAATAAACTGGACTCTCAAGTAACTATGTAGAAACAGATCCAACATTAGAACCAAGAACACAATCAAGATTAAATATACAACTAGTAAAAAAAAGATTTCGTGCAGGGTCGGAAACAACATGAAAATAAAGGAGATGAAAGGAAAAGGAAAAGGAAAGAAAATGGAGAGTGGACACCTCTGTTAATTTCTCTCTCTTATGTTCACAAAAAGAGGAAAACAAAACAGGTAATCAATCTGCACAGAGAAATGCTTCCAAATATAGAGAGTGGGTGAGTGAGGGTTACCTTTCGAACAAGATGCGGGGAACTGATCAGGCATTTGGCACTCCAGAGAGGGTCGTTAATGTCAGCACCATGTCGTTCAAGTTCAGTGGCGAAGCCGCCATCAACAACAGCATAGCCACCACATTTCTGGAGGAAATCCGTCATCAACCTCGACGAAGTTTCAACGATTCCCAATTCCATATTGTTAATGATTATGACTGAGAAGAAAGACGGGAGGTTGAGAGAGATGGCGAATAGCCAATACGGAGGAAGAAACGGAAAGCACCAAGTTAATGCTGCCCAAATTATTGCTATCAATTTATAGAGAAAACAATGTGGAGAGGCTGAGAAGCTGCAGGAGTGCAGCTGTGTTTATTTTTAAAAATATTTTTATATTAAAATAAAAAAAAATTAAAATAAATTTTTCAAACATTAATATATCAAGATGATTTAAAAAATAAAAATATATTAATTTAAAATAAAAAAAAAATTAAAATACAAAAATAAACATGTTGGCGTACTACAAAGTACAAACCAAATAAATACTACAATCTGACTTATAATTCTTACGTGTAAAAATAAATAAGGTGTCTATTTTACATGATAAAAAATTAAAGTTCGGACTAAATAAAAGTAGTTAAGAATGGTCGCGGTTCTTTGCATCAGCACGACTAATCCTTCGTAAATAAAGATTAACTGCTCCAAATCATATTAATCAAGTATTATGGCAATTTTTGAAATAGCTTGGTACATGAATTTCTGTAAAAACAAAAAATATCCTCCCTTGATTTACATAATTACAAGTAATTAATCATCTATACGTATTTTTAGATAATAAACCTTAACATAAAACTATAAAATTTGATTTTGTTAAGAAACATTCCATGAGCAGACGTATTTTAATTTTGCATGGTATAATTAAAAGAGCCGAAGAAATTAATTACAAAATTTCACAGTTAACTTCCAACTTAATTTAAAGCATGAGTATGCTTATCATGTATGTATATCCGATTTAAAGAATGGCTAAGATATACAAACTCTTATCCTCTTCCATTGAGCTATACATTAATTAAAAATTAAAAATTAAAAATTAAAAACCAGATAAGGATGAAAATAGAAAATGATGCGTGCAAAGCACCGATATTATCTTCTCTGACGAGTTGTAGATCAGTTAGATTAGCGTTCTGTCTTTTCAAAAGATCTCAATCCTCATGTTGGAGCATATATTTTACTGAAAATATATGAAAAAAACATGGAGGCTATTATTGAAAAAAAACATCCACTCTACTGCATAAAAATAAGATAAAGAAAGGGGTATATATGCTGTGTACTGCCCATTAATCTTCGAGATGCATGTCCTCTTTTTGTATACAGTGTGTATTGTTTATGTTACCTGGGAAACTATACAATGAGTTCACTTCTTTTCAATTTTATAATTATTTCTGCATATTTCTATCACCAACTCCTGACCTTTCTCTCCTAAGGAAACCTCCTCGTCTCCATTTATCTAAACACATCTTCTCTCTCTATTATTATTATTATTTAGTAGTAAAAAACAAATAAAATAACTTAAAATTATAATATTATGCAATAAGCAATCACTTGTGATTGTTGGACTTTGATATCAACCGATATATGTATAAAAAAATAACAAGCATGACATAACCAAATTATATTGAGAATGGATCACATATAAACTTTAATTTAAAATTTTATTTATGAATATTTTCTTTTTAGATACTCTACCACAAAAACTTACCTCAACCAATTAGAAAAACCAAATAATAATAATAATGAAATTCCTAAACAAACTAGGAAAAAATATCCTAGATAAAGTTCAAAAACAATAAAAGAGTTATCATTTAAATAGAAAAAATAATCCTAAATAAATCATAGAAATATAAGAAATTTTAATCGATAATTTATGGGCTTTATTTCAAAGTTTTTTTAAACTCTCTAATGGATATGAAATTTTAACCTTAAAAAAAATGTGGTTTATGGAATTCTTTAGTAAAATTTTATCTTGGTTTAACACCTTATATCTTAATATTTTTTAACTTTGAAGTTGTTATGTATAGATTGTGTTTGTTATATATATAATAATAACTGATGATGAAATTAAGGATATAAACAAGTATTAAGATATGAGTTGTTCAATGTGTTTAGTAAGTTTAAAGACAATTAATGAATTATAATGGATTCTATAAAAGATTAATTTATATCTTAAATCAATTTAAAATAAAAATATATACAAATCGATGGCTCTCAAAAGCAAGGTACAACATAAATAAATAAAAAATAGATATGTAAATTACAAAAAATGAGAGGGAAAGAATAAAATAAGAACTGTACGGAGAATTATAAAATAAGAAAAAGATATTGTTATTAATTATTTATTGAATCTCCTGCAAAATCTTTTTACTACGCAAAAATCATCGAATTTTAACAACAGCATAATAATAGCATTGACCTAACTTCTTGATTATGTCAAACATTGATATAGTTTTAAGACAGTATACATGCTTTGCAATTCAAAATGTTTTTATATTCAAAATACTTCAATTCATATCTTAAATATAATTTTTATTATATGAAATACATAGATAAAATAAATAAATTTAAGCATACAGTTACCATCAAACATTCTTTTCAGCTAACATTCATAAACAAACATATATGTGGGTGTGGTCCCATAGTTAATAAGCTATTAATTTTTTTAAGTCCTCCAACTATATAGTAGGTGGTCCAGATTAAATGTTAGAACTTTTTTTTTTTTTTTTTATCAATCGATCATCACTTTTCCTTTTCCTTATCATTAGGGGTTACGAAATTTTAAGGTTCCACCTTATTACCACATGTGACATAGTGGTCTGCGTGTGTGCAGACACTAGACCAACGTGGAAATCACATATTCCTCTGTACATGCAGGACGCCCGTATCCAACAACTAACGCCCTTAATAAGATTTAGTGGAGGGGATTTGAAGAGTTTAGTTTAATTGTTCAAGTATTGGATTTATTTTTTATTAATTATGAGTTTAAATTATTTTAGAATTATTAAAAATTTATATAATTATTAATTTTAGAGTTTGTAGAAGGAGTTGAGGTACACACAAATTCACCTAACATTTATGTAAATAATAAAAGTTTAGAAAAGGGAGAAAATGAAGAGAATTAACAATAAATTAGATTTCAATTATCCCTTACAATCTTGATTGTAAACAGGGCTGGCTAGATTTTTTTATTTTTTATTTTTTATTTAAAATTATTTTAATATATTAATATCAAAAATAAGTTTTTAAATTAAATTAAAATATATTATTTAAAAATATTTTTAAAAATACATTTTAAAAAACAAACTATCATTATAATATCAAACAAGCTATTTATATATATATATATAAAAAAAAACTATATATAGCAATGTTTGAAATGACCATAAATTTGTCGTTTTAGGTACAGCGATTTCCAGACGAAAGGAAGTGGGCAAGCAATATCAATTTGATCCGACTGGGAGTTCCACTTATTGTTGGAAAATCTTGAAGGACTTGTGCACTAAGAGACAAGTAAAGCAGAGACAGGCAACAATCTTATCGTGTAGACACAATTTTTGTGGTCTGGATAATTTGCTCACACAATCACTCTCCATTTATAAAATGCCAGTTCATTAAAGCTTGCACACTAGTGGATCGGGATTTTTATTTTTATTTTTATTTTTATTTTTTTTTACATGGTAGGAGAAAGCTTCATATTTCTAAGCCCGAAATCTCTTTAATTTGAAATCTTCAAGTTTAGCCAATGGGCTTCTGTCGTACACACAAATATGTCAGGGTTTTGTGCACTTTAAGTCCAATATCCGCTTAATGGGTGGGATGGGTCTGATCAGAGCTATGTTTTGAGGCTCAGAATTGGGCTTCAGGTGGCGTTTGACAAATATGGGCTTGGCCCAAGCTATAGAAAGGTAGAAACGTCCAGATTTTTTCATCTTAACTCGCAACACTGGATATGCATACTTCAAACCATAAACAAAAGCCACAGTGAGCGTGGACAGAAATCGATTCAAATTCACCGTTTCTAATTTAAAAATTTCTCATAAACATGCCATGACCATCCCAAGGGAAGGATGATGAATTTAGTGCCTTCATTGTGATGGAGGGTATTTTTTAAAAATGTTTTTTGATATGAAAATATATCAAAATAATTTTTTATATTTTTTTATATTTATACATCAAAATTATCTCAAAAAACACTAAATAAAATAGATCAATTTGACATGTTTCCACGTTAAATACACTTTCAAAATGGACTTAAAACATTTTAAAACACAAAGCCAAAAAACCTCTTAGCCTCAATGCATAAAAGCTACCCCAAGGACTCCTTTAGCCGTCTAGCTATACATCCTCTACACACACACACACTTGTATGGTGTTGCCTTTTTTTTTTTTTTCATTTTAAGAAGGTTTAACACGGATTGAGACCATGCTATTCATTGCATTGACTCGTATCCAAAAGCTCCCATCAACAGCAAAATTTAGCAGGTTGAACCAGGTAAAGGCAGCAGCTGTAAGAATTGGCGCAGCAAAAAATGTTTACAGGCTTACATCCTCAAAAGGCTGCAGTTCCATGCCACTAACCGGTTATTCACACGTCCCGATCCAACCAATCTACCAAAACTGCTTTCCTAAAATGCAAGAGCTATCACGCATGAATTGCAAAGCCCTTCCAGTGTAAACACATCATGTGCAACAAGCCCGGTAGCTTGTAATAAGCAAAAGATTACAACTTCAAAACAATTAAAAAACCACCTTATTTCCCCATTCTTGCAGAATAATGAGTAGAATGTTTTTCATCTTGTGAAGCAAAAGATCATAACCAATCGAACTAAGAGCTGGATGTCGCAACTCCGACTCATTACAAAATGAAAGGGGGAGAGACAACGAGGAGGAAGGTGAAGAACACAACTTAGGGTCCGCGAGCAGGGGTCAAACAGAAACAGACAGATGCCTGGTCTTCAGGTATCATCCCCCCTCCCTTGCTTGTATCAACCGCTTCTAACATTTTCACCACCTCAGCCATTTCAGGACGTTTTTCTGCATTTCCATCCCAGCATTTTCGCATGACATTTGCTAAAGAACTTGGACAACATCTTGGAATCTCTGGCCGTAAATTCTGCCAATGAAATCATGCAGCATGAATTTCCCAATATTTGATGACCTTTGGCTGGATGCTAGATCTTAAGATCTTGAACAAAGTTTTAGCAAAAGAGCAAAATGTTTTCATAAAACGATATCAATTCTCTCGAGAGCTTTACATTTAACTAAGCTTAGCCTTTTCCTTCCTTGCTTGTAAAAACCAATGAAGGCATTTGAAAGCATTACGAGGAATATCCAGTGATGTCAATTCAATATTGCCACTTTGCTAAAAGTAGCTGGGATGCATCAATGCTGTACAATAAATTAGTTAGAAGGGCATGTACATCACTGAGTTTGAAAGAAGAAATGGACCAGAGTCATTCATGAACTGCTGACAATGGCTCCCTCACATGCGAGATGTCAAATCACATGTCATGTGGATAACAATATGGTCACAAAATTCTTTCCTAAATCCATTAATTAATTATGAACGGTGATAACAATTCTTTGAGCCTCCTCAAGTCACCATATAACCAGAAGAAAGAAAGAAAAGCAAGAGCAAGAAAAATAAGAAGAAGAACTAGGCATGAGGGCTTGCTTAAATTACAAACTAACCTGTCGAACAACAGCAGAGGGGACATCAGCGAAGCTAAGATTAGGGTAAGGCATGTCACAACAATATATTTCCCATAAGCAGATGCCAAAGCTGTAGACATCACATCTTCTGTTATACGGTTTGCCATCAAGAACCTGCATAAGTATCAGATTAGATAGTTGCAATTAAATAACAATTCAAATATGCCTATTCAATTGCATCCCGTGTCCATATGGTTATGAATTTATAATTAACAGAAAAAACACACCCTCACAGATTCCATATTGAACATGGCACAAGGATTGATTTTATCATCCTTACACATCATTTATATGCATTTCTGGACTTATTTATATAACCAATCACTTGTTAATATGCAAAATTTTCTTTATAAACTACTTCTGCCTAGGGAAGAAAAGGTTTTGTTAAAGCATGAAATACCTCTGGGGCCATGTATCCAAGTGTGCCAGTTTCACCAGTCATGTCACATGGATTCTGAGCTTCAACACGGGCAACACCAAAATCAGCAATTTTGAGATTTCTATGAGAATCTAGTAACATGTTTTCAGTCTTGACATCACGATGTACAATCTTCTTTGAATGTAGATAGCTAAGACTGCAAATTAGTAAAACTAGTCTTTAATTTCATTTTTTTAGGGAATTTTTCAATAAAAGAAAATAAACAAAAGCTAAAACTCACCCCCTTGAGAGATCCAAAGCAAGTTGGATCACAACCTTAAAAGCAAGTTTTTTTCGACTATTTCTTATCAAGTAGTGTTTAAGCGTCCCACCAGGGAGATACTCAACAACAACACAGCATGCCCTAGCAGGAAGGGAGATGTAACCATCAGATGGGTTTTTGGCAGGAATTTTCAGGTTTGAAGTTCCCATTGATGCTCCAACAAACTGTAAAAAAAAATAAAGCATCAGAAATAAAAATAACACAAATGATAAGCTTATGGTAATAACCAGAATGACTGGGAGGATGATCCTTCAAGCATATGGTTTCAACTAAAAAATCTTGTTTAAGTAGCAAACATTTTTCCTGTTGATGTATGTCAAAATTTACATATAGTTTATGAATTCCATCCACTATGATAAGATACAGAAATATAACCATGTTTAAAGCAAAGTGTCAAGAAAACCATGCTTGCCAAGAGGAACCTGTAATGTAATTACTGGTAAGGTAATACAAGATGAACAATTGCATGACCCAAAAAAGCCAACTTTCATGTAACATGGTGCTCATAATACAATGAACATGACAAGTTTAAGAATGAGTTAGTACTTTTGTAACATTAGGATGGTCAAGCTTGTGCCAGACAGCAACCTCTTGCTGAAATGATGCCCGCACAGCAGTGGTTTCAGCAGTTGTGGCAATACCATCCTCCCCCCAGTCCAACATTTTCACTACAACATCCAACAACAGTTCGGTAAGAGATCAACATCAACATGCACAGTGCTGAATGCTAACAATCTCTCCAATTGAAACAGACCGCAGTTTCATCAATGCTTATCAGGAGTTGTAGTGAAAAGATTTTGCAGGCATTAGATATCAAACAAAAAAACTCAGACAGAGAATGAC